TCAACGTATTTAAAATATACCATTCGGGGATATAACTATTAAACAACTGGAGTAAAACTGAGACCTCTGTAATCCAGCAAATGAGAAATAAAATGTGTCCGTGTGTCCGTGTGTGTGTGTGTTTGTGTGTGTCTCTCTCTCAAATAAACTTCTGGACTCTTTCATGAAAATTCATGATCTGTGTAATTCACTTTTTTACTCTCCCCCGTCTTACACCATCTTCTGCTCTGTTTGCTTTTCTTCTCCCTCTCCCCCCTCATTCTGTGATCTTCATACAAGATATTTATGACCCCCTGCGAGAATGGTGTCTATTTTCTATCAGCCGTGTGTCTTATCTACAGTCAGTTTGCTTTGACCCCTGTATCACAACTCAGCTTTTAATTCCATGTGTCATTTTTGTTCTGAAATGTTTTGATGTGTGTGAGAGTGCCGTGTGTGAGTGATGGGTGTGAGCAGGGCCGTCTTTAACGCGGGGCAAACGGGGCAGCTGCCCCGGGCCCAGTTGCTCCTGGGGGCCCAGAGCAGCTGCTCTTTGGGCCCCGCGATTTGCGCAGCCCCTATGGACTGGGAGGCTCCCCGGGTGGCCCATGCACTAAGGGCCACCCGGGGAGCATGTGTCAGCAGGGGCCCGGTCGGGCGCTGTGGCGCTTAAACAGCGCGACCGGGCCCCTCTTCCGGTTCTGCAGCCGGCTGGGAGGAAGTGACGTCACTTCCTCCCACCGGAGATAATGGCCACGCAGGAGGAGGAAGGCAGGGAGGAGGGGAGTTCCAGAGGAGAACTCCCATCTGCCTCAGCCTGCCACTGGACCAGGGAAACCACCCTCCATAAAAAGGTAAAAACCTGGAGGGTGGCTAAATGTAGGTCTGTGTGTGTGTGTGTGTATGCCAGTATGTCTGTGTGTATGTCAGTATGTCTGTGTGTGTGTGTGTGTCAGTATGTCTGTGTGTATGCCAGTATGTCAGTGTGTGTGTGTGTGTGTGTATATGTCTGTGTGTGTGTGTGTCAGTATGTCTGTGTGTATGCCAGTATGTCAGTGTGTGTGTGTCTGTGTGTGTGTTTCAGTATGTTTGTGTGTATGCCAGTATGTCTGTGTGTGTGTATGTAGGTATGTCTCTGTGTGTGTGTGTACGTGTGTGTCAGTATGTCTGCCAGGATATATTTGTGTGTCAGTGTATGTGTGTGTCAGTATATATCTGTGAATGTTTTTTAATGTCTGTCTGTGTGTATGTGCCAGTACGTCTGTCTGTGTGTATGTCAGTATGTGTGTGTCAGCATGTCTTTGTGTGTCAGCATGTCTGTGTGTGTATATAAGTATGTCTGTGTGTGTATGTATGTGTCAGTCAGTATGTCTGTCAGTGTATGTGTCTGTGTGTGTGTGTATGTATGTATGTATGTCTGTGTGTGTGTGTGTGTGTGTGTGTGTGTGTGTGTGTCAGTATGTCTGCCAGGATATATTTGTATGTCAGTGTATGTGTGTGTCAGTATATATCTGTGAATGTTTTAATGTCTGTCTGTATCAGCCATTACGTCTGTCTGTGTATATGTCAGTATGCGTGTGTGTGTGTGTGTGTGTGTGTGTCAGTGTGTATGTCAGTATGCCTGTGTGTGTGTGTCAATGTGTCTGGCAGTGTATTTGTCTGTGTATTTTAGTATATCTGTCAGTGTATGTGTTTGTGTGTGTGTCAGTATATCTGTTATTGTATGTGTCTGTGTATGTATGTATGTCTGTGTGTGTGTCAGTATGTCTGCCAGTATATATTTGTGTGTAGTGACTGTGTGTGTCAGTATGTATCTGTGAATGTTTTAATGTCTGTCTGTGTGTGTGTACGCCAGTACGTCTGTCAGTGTGATTGCGGGTTGGACGTAATTGGGGGGTGAGGCAGGGACAGGGCCCATGGGGCCCAAGAAAATGCATTGTCCAGGGTCCTAATCATATTATAGACGGCCCTGATGCAGGGTTAATACAATCTGCTAGGTGCTAACCTATTCATTAGCAGGAATGTACAACAGACAAGAGGTTATCCACTGGACAAAAGGTGTTTTCGTTTATAGCAGAGGAAAAGGGTTCTCTTTTCTAGGAACAATAAAGATGTGGAATTCTCCACCAAACAAGGTTATTTTATCAGATTCTGTAGATATTTTTTAATACAGACCTAGATGTATGTTTGGAAGAACAGAATATTCAAGGAGATAATTAATATGTATGTGAACAGGTTGTTGATTCAAGGAGATGGTAAAACTCAATGGACATGAGTTTTTCTTCAACTATGTTACTATGTAACTAAATAACTACCCTTATTTTTTTTAGAATGTTTTTAAATAATACTGTATTGCTAGACAAAGACCATGTGAGGGTGGAAACGTTGCATTTATACTGCTCCAATAAACCTGCTTTTTGTTTGTTACACTTTGAGTGCCTGGACCATCTTCTACTTTCCAAACTGTGAAGTGAGGTTTGGCCTACCTTGGGTCTGGCTGTACCCTGGGAATAAAGGAAGTGCAGTATCCTCTGTACTATTGGATAATGTATTAATGTGACATGCCTCTGTATAGTGGACGCATTTAAAACTTTTTTGAATTTCTAGATCCCATAATTTATTAAGTATTTATGATTTCAGAATTGTGTTCTTCAACATGCACTTTGCTTGTAATGTACACTGTGTACGCACCTGTATTTTATTTATTTATTTATTTATTTATAAAATATTTTACCAGGAAAGATACATTGAGATTTCTCTTGTTTTCAAGTATGTCCTGGGTCCACAAATCATTGCATTGTTACATTAGGGTACAATAAAATACAAAACCAACATTAATACACAATAAATACAAAAGTTAACATAGAATAGGTAGGAAATATATAATCAACCATGACACGTGCATTCTGTTTTGGGGTATGTAGAGAGGGATCTCTTAAAGGACTTTAGGCTTAGGGAAGATTTCAAATTGTGTGGGAGGTCGTTCCACAATTGCGGTGCTTTGTAGGAGAAGGAGGATCGGGCTGCTTTCTGTTTGTACTGAGGTAGACTAAATAAAGTGCTGGTACTGGATCGGAGGTTATAGGAAGTGGGAACAGCTGGGGAAAGCATTTTGTTCAGGTAGGGTGGCAGTTTCCCAGAAAAGCTCTTAAACACAAGGCTGGAAAGATGAAGGGTGCGTCTGGATTCCAGCGACAGCCAGTTTAGTGCTTTTAGCATGTCACAATGGTGAGTCCTGTAATTACATTGTAGCACAAATCAACAGAACGAGTTATACAATGTGTTGTTTATTAATGTGGGATTGCGATGCAAATGCATATACTACATCCCCATAATCAATGATTGGCATCAGCATTTGCTGTTCAATCTTTTCCTTTACTGTAGGGCTTAGGCAGGATTTGTTTCTGTACAGGGCACCTAGTTTTGGATAAAGTTTAGGTGCAAGCTTTTCTATGTGCAGGCCAAGAGATAGATTTGGGTCTAACATCATACCTAAGTATTTGAAAGAGTGGACTGCGGTCAG